TAACGCCCCACGGCCCCGCAGGGGCGGGCATCGGCAACAGGCGCACGCTCGAAGGGCCCCATCCCCTCCAGCCCCGTATGATGCCGCCATTCCGCACATGAAGCTCCAAGCAATTTTATTCCACAGAAAAAATAAAGTTCTGGAACAAGATAAATTGTTTCCGAGGCGTTTAGCGAACAGAAATAACGTTTTTAGCAATATTTAGTATGGGCGTTGACTCTGCGATTTCCTTCATGTGAGCGCAACGCTATACAAATTACGAATTTTACTCGCATACAACTACTCAAGCCCCATTCTGCACACACGTTCAGAAATAAAGAGGCTGTGTCCCTAAAAAAAAATTTTTATAATAAAGATAGTGCCAAAGTTTTGTGAAAGGCGGAGAGCTAGACTCACAGTACAACAAACCAATAAATTAGAAATGTAATAAAATAAAGTTCTCTAGAGCTGAATAGTGGCTGACTGAATGAATGGGGAAGAGGGGAAAGGTTCTGTGTGGGTAGCTCACGCTCCAGCTTTTGCTTCTTCCCGGACAAAGTTATTTCAAAATCTGGAAGTCCTTGTGCTCCAGCGCTGCGATCTTCTTCTCATTGCTGAACTCAGCTCGGCTGATGCGGGACTGGGGACTCCCTACCTTCCTGAGCCATTCCTGCAGCTCCCGCACCCTGGCAGTCGGACCCTGAATTTGTCCTTGCACGGTGCCGTGGCTAGTATTTTGGACCCAACCAACGAGTCCTAGCCGCTTAGCCTCCCCCTGAGAAGACAATGCAGAGCAAAATGAGATTAATCCGAACGGTAAGAGAGCTACAGAATGACATTCAGGTACAGGAGTCAATTTTACAGGCAAGACACAGACCTCCAAGGAAGTTCCTATGGCTCAGGCAGCAGGAAAGCAGCAGAGGATTCACCCGACTACTCATTACATTCTTTCACGCGAACAACTGGGGCTGAAACGCACTTTTCAGTCGTGCGTACGTAACACGGCACAGGCCGCCAGCAGCACCGA